GGCTCCGGAGCAGCCTGCCGCGAATTGCTCTGGCCCGGCGCTGCCCTCCCCTGACGTACGGCACGCGACACCTCCCGAGACACCTCGCGCTGGAGGTCCGCCAGCGTCACTGGCGGCCGATACGACCCGCCTCCACCGCGCCCCGGGGGGCCCCGCCATCCCCGACTGCCACCCGAGTGCGTTGGCCACTGGGCATGCTGCTGGTAGCGCCGGGGGGAGTTCCGCCGGCGCCGAGACGTCTCGCGCTCCTGCGGTGGCGCGGGAGAATGGGGCCGGGACAAGCGGCGGTCAGGCGACGGGGGACGAGACGGCGGAACAACCGGAGCCGCGGGCGGTGGAACGGGAGGAGACTGATCCGCGCTCGGAAGAGCAACCACCGAGGGCGGGCCGCCAGTGGTGGCGGACACCGCAGGCGACGAAGAAGCAGACGCCAGCATCGGCACGCCGGGGACAGCACCGGCAGGTGCAGCTGTAACGCCAGGCCCTGGGACAGGATGAGCGGCGACCCCCCCGGCAGGAGCAGATGCCGCCAGCGGCATGGCAGGAACAGGGAGAACAGGCGGAGAGGGGGCGACAGGCGGAGCGCGAGGAGCAACCATCGGCGCAGACGGCTCAACCCCGTTCACGACAAGAGGACGTGCGGATACAAGGGGAGGAGTCTTTTCAGCGGCTACTAGGCCGGGCGGCAGAACAGACAGTGGCGGGGAACCCGTCGCCTCGGTCCTCGCTCCTGAGGCAGACGACGGCCTTTCGAGTACAACCGACGCGGCGCCAACGCGCATTGGCGAATAATCAGTCACACCAGCAATCACCATCGCGAGGACAGGAAGCGCGAGGCGATGGGCGGGCAGCAGGTAGCGGTCGAGGAGGTGGGCCAGAAAATGGCTATCAGAGGGAGGCCAGAAGGGCTTTAACTAGGCTACTTAATGACGAAGAAGAAAATGACCCCTCTTATAGAGAAGAGCCAACCCCATCCAGTGCGGAGGAAGGGTCAGAAGCAGAGGAAGGGGTAGAGGAGAATGGGAGAAGGACAGGAGCGAGAACAAGGCGGTCCCGAGGAGAGGGAACGACCACCACGGCTGGACCGTCCGATGGCAATCGTACAGGCGAAATTCCAACCGCACCATCACAAGCAAGGCCGGGCCGCACCGGGAGAAATTGGGCCGCGACGGCAGCGGCATCGGTGCGAGACAATCCCAATCCCCCGCGCTATTTTACGCCAGAGGAGTTGGCGACGCGAGCAGATCTGTTCGCTGGCGTCGAGAACTGGGATATCCCAGCCCTCTGCGATAGTTGACAACCATCCCTGGCAAGGCGGTTACCGCCCAATTTGTGCCAGTTGTTTTCGCTGGCGCTGCTAACCCCGTTACTCAACCTGTCACGAAACCCGGAAGGAGAGGCAGGTTGGCGCCTACTCCTATTTCTGCCACGTCTGACGCTTCGCCAGACCTCGCCACGGAAACCAAACTGGCCCCAGATCAAGGCCCGGCTCCGACCCTTCCAACGTGGCGAGTGGGGTCAACTGTACCAGGATGCGATCGAAGCAGTCAACACTCCCACACCTCCACGTCACAAGCCCGACGCAACCGGGGTCATCAGCAGGGCCGAGGGCCTGGCGAAACGGGGTAGCCTACGACGCGCTGTGCTGGCGTTGGAGTCAACGCCAGTCTGCACCCCAACTCCGGAAATTTTGGAGGAGCTTCGACAGAAACACCCGCCAGCCGAAGCAGGGGAGACGACGTGGCCATCCTCGCCTGAGTCAAAATTGTTCATCACCCAGGCTGACTTCGCCAAACTGTTGGGAAGGTGTGAAAATGGGGTCGGTGCTGGGCCATCGGGAACGACATTCGAACACATGCGCGACGCGGCAATCACGAATAGACGAGTTAGCACCCATCTGCACGCCTTGGTTAACACCATTTTGGGGGGCAACCTTCCAGCACCGGTGTCGGACCTACTGACAGCTTCACGGCTCATTGCCCTGGCCAAACCCGGTGGGGGGGCTCGACCAATCGCCATTGGCGAATGCATTACGCGGCTGACTGCCAAAGCAGCCCTCGCAGCCATGGGAGAAGCCGCGCGGGCCCTTTTCCTACCTCTACAGTATGGCGTAGCTGTGCCTGGAGGAGCCGAGGCAGTCATCCACGTGGCACGGGCGTATCTGGACAAGTTTCCCAACAGCCTCGTGCTGCAAACCGACATCTCAAATGCATTCAACAGTATTTCACGGCAAGCCATCCCGACAGCGTTACAAGGACCAGAATTGTCGCCACTACTGCCGCTGGTGAAACTGACATATGGTAACCCGTCGAAATTATTCGTCGACGCGAATTTTGGATCGGACCCACTGATCAGCGAACGGGGCGTGCGCCAAGGGGACCCACTTGGCCCACTACTGTTTGCGGCAGGTATGCACACTACACTCCGCGACACTGCTGCAGCACACCCCCAGGTGCTGTGTCTGGCATACGCCGACGACGTCACATTCCTGGGGGAGGCGACGGCTACTGTAGCAGCCTTCAACCACTTCACCGAGCAGCTGGCACACCTGGGATTACGGCATAATGCGCAGAAATGCGCAGCTTGGAGCACACAAGCAGCAGTAAAGGATCTACTGCCGCACGACGTACCATTCTCCCAGGATGGTGTTCGCTTGCTCGGAAGCTTTGTGGGGCCGGACAGTGGGGCGTCACAGTTCCTGTCGGGTCAGCTGCAAGAGATGGCCAAACCCCTGCCACTGCTCGAGAAAGCCGACCCGCAGGTAGCCTCGTTATTACTCACCCGCTGCATTTCGAGGCGTGTGGCATACCTTACCAGAACAACACCGCTCTCCCTTTTGCCGCGAGAGACCTGGAGCCAGTGGGGGACAGACCTGCTAGCGGCCCTACTCACAGCATGCCACCTTCGCGTCCCCACCTGCCGGACTGAGCAAGCACGTGTCTGGGCGCAGGCGTCTCTGCCGCCGTCTTTGGGAGGGATAGGCATTACTGACCCACTGGTCGAGGGTGTTTTCGGGTTCGCAGCGAGCTTCACGCAGGCGGCGCTTTTCATCGCATCACTAGACGGCGCTTCTGAGGGCGCGCTGGCGCAGGCGCGGGACCACATGCAGTTGCCTGCTGACACCACCACACCCCTTCACACGTGGCTGTTGGAGTGTGAAGCAGCGTTACCCGACGATGCGCGAGAAGTCCTGGAGAAAGAACGGCTAGAGCGAACTGATGTGAGGCTCCAGCACGCATTGGCGCTAAGGGTGCATGGGAGTAGATATGCGGCGCAGGTGCAGGCGACGAGGGAGATGGCGGTGAACCCCTTATGCGGACATACGCAGCGGATGTACTCAATGACGGGGTACGGGACTGGGGATTGGCTGACCGCTATCCCGATTGCGGCCAACAGGAGGATAGGGCCCACTCACTTTTCCAATGCCGTACGTTTCCGGCTGGCCCTCCCCTTCTCCACGCCGAAGAATTGCGACTGTGCGGACCACACGGAGATCACGGACCCCCGCCTCCCGAATCACCTTCTCCGCTGCGGCACAGGCAAGCATCGCATCAACACCCACAACGAGCTGCGCGATGCCTGTGTCAGCATGGCCCAGGACGCGGGTTTCATCGTTCACAGAGAATCCTCAGCGCACTGCCCCGTTGAGGAACAGACAGCAGATTTTACAATGACGGACAGAAGCAGTGGGGCCGTCTATGTATGTGATGTCACCATCACCGACCCCATTAGCACAAGGGACCCGGAGGCACAGAAGGGCAGGGGCTGGGCGGCCCGGGAGCAAGCGGACAAGAAAATCCAGCACTACGCCTCCCTACCAGAGACGGTGACCTTCTTCCCCCTGGCTGTGGACACCTATGGCTGCCCGTGTGCGGAGGTACCAGCCTTTTTGAAGCTCTTAGCGGACACTGCAGCTCGGCGGCACTTCAACGCCGACTCTAAATCATTCTATGCTGCAAAGTTCCTGCACCAGTTCAGGCAGCGCTGGTCTGTGGCCCTGCAAAGGGCCCAATCTGTAGGCCTCCTGCTCAAGCTTGGGGAGGCGGCGGCGGTTGAAAACCCGCCGGTGGGAGGAATTGGGGATGAGTTGCATCTAGGGGACTGCTTAGCAGTGATTGAGCCCCTCGTAGAGCTGTAGATCGGCGAGGTTTGCAACCAGCATGCTTGTTATCTAGGCCACTATAACTTGCCTGCCTGTACTTGACTGCTATATCAATAAAAGGACCATTAGAAAGAGAGAGAGAGAGAGAGAGAGAGAGAGAGAGAGAGAGAGAGAGAGAGAGAGAGAGAGAGAGAGAGAGAGAGAGAGAGAGAGAGAGAGAGAGGAATGGCCTAGTTCCAAGTCCTTAGCCGTTTTTTAGGCCTCTCTAGCCTAGTCTCCTGTCCTTAGCCGTTTTTAGCCTGTTCTTCCTAGTATAAAGCCCCTAGATCTCTGCCCATGGGGCTTATTATTCACTGGTGAGTTCAGTTTACTCTCCAAAACCGGCGGCTCGCGCCGGCCGCCTTCGGCGGCCGCCGCTCGCCAGCGCGGCCTACGGCCGCGCGTGAGGTGTGGCAAGGGAGTAAGCTCCTGGGAGGTCAACATGGGGCAATACAAAAAGGAGGCATAGATCTACGGCAGGTACAACAACACCCCCGGGCATGAGTACACCGCCATGGGGAAGCCCAAACCCAGACCTGCTACAAAGGGGGCTGGCAAGGGGAAGTCTACCGCTACTCAACGAGGATCCAACACAGCCTCCCGTCTAGCCAGCGCAAGACGGACGCGGCTGCCGCAACAAGGTCGAGCGGGTCGCCCCGGGCCGAAGCAGCAAGCCGCGCCAAAGCTCCAGGGCCGGGCCCGAGGGCAGCCCCAGGAGAGCCCGGCACATAGCCAATCAGGGGGAGGTAATGCTACAGCTCCTCCGCCACCGCCACCGCCGCCGACTGCTCCGCCGGCTGCATCGCCTCGATCTGCACCTCCTGCTGCACCAGTGTCACGTGTAGCTGGTCGAGCACATATGACAGGAGTGTCATGCACGTCCCAACGTGCATCACGCGCTGCTCGACGCGAGTTGGGGGCGCGCCAAGAACCAAGGCAGGGGGAGGAGGCGGGCTCGAGGCGTGCGGGAAGTGCGACGGGGGAACTTGGGGCATTGGGGGACGAGGCGGTAGCGGCTGGAAGGGTAGGTGAAAACGCCGCAGTGGGGACTGTGCTGGGGGCCGCTGTGGTGCCCAGAAGGGCGGCTGGATTGGTGCTTGAGGGAGCTGCTGCTGCTGCTGCGACTGCAGCTGAGACGGTGGCGGACCCTGTGTTTGCCGGCTGTTCTGCCGCTGCCGTTGGCAGCGGCTCAACTTCACACGCTGCCGCCCCACGGGCGGCACAGAAGGAGGCGGAGGAGCCAAGCCCGGGCGTGGATCAGGAGCAGACCGCGGAGGCGGTGTTGTCGGCGTCTTCGGCGCCTGTAACGACGGCTGTGCTGGCGGCAGTGGTGTCTGCTGCGGCTGGGGAGCAGGGCGCAGCCCCGTCAAAGGTTGACGCGACGCCTGTCGCTGCGAGCGCCGGAACGCGTGTACCTGCCGCGGCCGCAAACAGGCAGGAGCGCGGCCAGGCGGAGGGTGAGTTTCTGGGACCTGCGAACGGAGCTTCTTCCAGCGCTGCACGGGCGGTTTCGAAGAAGAAGCTGCGTGCCCAGCCAGCGCCGAGACGGCCCGGAGCAGGGCTAGGACCTGGCTCCCCGGGACCCCTCCTGGGCTGGCTTCTGCAAAGGCAACCGCCATCTGAGCGAGCGCATCGGTCGTCATCGGTGAGCCAGCGAGAGGTGAGAGAGGAGGCTGAGGCTGGAAGTTGCCCACCAGGAATCTCCCGGGACGCTTCCGCTCCCAACGTAACACCAGCAACGGCAGTGCACGCTGAGGCTCCAAACACCACGAATGCCGTTGCACACAACACCCGCCACGCAACGCGAGGAGCGGCAATAACCTGGGGACCGCCCCGCGGAGGTCGGACACCGTGGCTGCCGGCGGGACGTGGAGCTACGAGCGTGGTGGCAAGAGCGCCAACAAGCGCGGGGAGGACTCAACGGGGGGGCGGTGCATGGGGAGCGCGCGGAGGGCGAGGGGGAAGGGCCCTGGTGGGGGGATCTGAGATCCCTGTGCGAGTTGGCACCTGGCGGGAACGCCACGACAGACCAGTGGCGGGGGCAGCACCAACGAATGAGGAGGAAGCAGCGGGCTCTGAGGACAACGGTGGCGACCCATAATTTATGTGTGGTGACGAAGCTGAATCTAAGGAGGTGTCCCTGGAGGAGGAAACTGGGGTGGACAGGAATGCACCCAACACACGGGGAAGAGGGTCGAGGGGGGATGGGCAGAACCAACAAGCTGTGGGAGATACAGGTGGAGCAACGGATGCGACGGATGTCTTCTCGCCTACTGACATGGCGAAGGATGAGGCCATCTGGCAAGAAGCTGGGGGTTGGGATATGCAGCAACTGCAACGTAGTGACCAGCCCTTCCTTGTTCGCCGCCTACCTCCACAAATCCTAGACAAATACAGCCTCTGTCTGCTGGCGCCACTTCTGAGGCTGGAGAAGTTCCCCACGTGCCTAGGTGCGTGGAAGATTCTTCTCTTCCTACCGAGGCTTACACTACAACCCTCTCCCGAACCTGTTATTGGGAGCCGCTGGGCTCGATTTGAGGCTCGGCTGCACCAATTTCAGCAGGTGAAATGGGAGGGACTTTTCGAGGAAGCTGGCACTATCCCCGATACCGAAGCCCCGCTGCGACACCAACCGGACGACGAAGGTGTTTGTGCACGTGCTGAAGGGCTAATGAAAAAGGGCAATATCTCGAAGGCGGTTGCGGCGTTACGCACCAGCCCACTCGCTGAACCCAGTTCGGCAACCCTCGCTGCACTCCGGGCGAAACACCCACTTGCTGAAGACGATCTCCCAGCCTGGGTTACAGGGGTAGCAACTTCTGAGCTCGCCATCCAGATCGACGCACTTCGCGAAATCCTGGCAAAGTGCCCGAATGGGGTGGGTGGGGGGCCCTCTGGAACGTGCTTCGAGCACCTCAGAGATCCTGCTCTCGCAAATGAGGAGATATTAATTATACTGGCCAAGACAGTTAACAATTTCCTTAGCACCTACCAGTCACAGGAGCTGCACGACCTTGCCCTATCCTCGCACCTGATGACTTTGGAGAAACCGGGGGGTGGGGTCAGGCCTATCGCGATTGGCGAAACATTGCTCAGAGTAGTAGCGAAAGCAGCTCTACACTCGCTTGGCCCCAAGATCCGTGAGTTCTTTCTCCCGGTCCAATTCGGCGTGGCCATCCCGGGGGGAGCGGAGTGCATCATACACTTGGTTAGAGCGCTACTACAGGAGGACGTCCCGCGGATCGCGCTGCAGCTGGACGTAGAGAACGCGTTCAACAGCGTCGAACGCAGGGCTTTGTTCGAGGCGCTGCAATGGTCTAACCTCAACCCCCTACTCCCCCTGGTCCGAAACCTCTACGACGGCCCGTCGAGGCTCCTGGTCGACCAGCGTTTTGACACTGAGTACATCCTGAGCTCCCGCGGAGTTCGCCAAGGCGATCCACTCGGCCCGCTCCTGTTCCCGGCGGCGATCTAGCCAGCCCTGCTGAGTGTGGCCACTACTCTGCCGGATGTGGCGATCGTTGCCTACGCCGACGACATTACGATTGTCGGCCCGCGTGAAGCCGCCTGCCTCGCCTTTGACACGATCGCTGCGGCTTTGGGAAAAGCAGGACTGCGATGCAACATTGCCAAATCAACGGCCTGGGGGAGGAACGCGAGCGAGCAGCAGGAGGAGTTGCCGCTTGGGCTGACCTCGAACCCGGGAGGAATCAAGGTGTTGGGCAGCCCAGTTGGGACTAAAGACTTCTGTACGGACCACATACGGGCGGCGCTCGGGGAGGCGGCATCACCGCTCCTCCTCATTTCACAACTGAACCCGCAGCACGCGCTCCTTATGGTCTCACGCAGCATCTCACGGCGGATCTTGTACATGCTCCGGATGACCCCGGCTTCAACACTAAGTGCGCGAGAATGGAGGGAGTGGAGTGAGGCTCTCCTGGGCTCGGCGCTCACCGCGGCGAAACTACGGATCCCCACCTCCGAGCTTGAGCAGAGCCTGCTGTGGCGTCAGGGGACACTCCCCATCCGCCTGGGCGGCCTCGGGGTGATCGACCCTATCTCTGAGGCACCCGCGGCATACCTGGCTTCAGTCACAGAGGCACACATCCTACTGAGGCAGCTGAACCTGCCAACGGACTGCCTCCTGAGCCGGGCGACACACCTCCTCTCCCACGAGTGGGCCCCACTGCCACCTGAGACCAACCCCAGAGCCACGATGGAGGGCAACCTCCCTGCCGAAGCCCGAGCAACACTAGAGCAGTACAGGGCAGGGAGTCTGGGCACTGGGAACCTGCAGCTGGGGCTGTCCAAGTCTATCAACCAGCGGCGGGCGTTGGAACTCCTAGCAGACACACTTCAGGACCGGCCGGGGGAGGACAGGGGCCACGCCATCCGCCTCATCAGCCTCAAGGGGGTGGGTTCCGGTGACTGGCTCCATGCCATCCCAACGAGAGGAGACCTTAGCTTATCCCCTGGTCAATTCTCGATGGCCTTGGGCCTGCGGTTGGGCATGGAGCTGCCGGTCGCCGAGGTGTGTCCGTGCAAGCAAGAAAACGCGACGATTGCCGATAAGAGCCTCCCCAACCACCTCCTGCGGTGTGGGGATGGAGGGGACGTCGTAAGGACCCACCACGCCCTGGTTTTCGCGGCTCTCAGGATGGCCAAGGATGCGGGTTACAAGACGTTCCATGAGACCACGGCTTTCTCTCCCCCCGTCCTCCGAAAGCGTGCAGACCTGGCCATCCGAGACCAGGAGTCAGGGGAAACGTGGGTGACGGATGTCACGGTCACGGATCCGGTATTGCAGAGGCGGGACAAGAGAGCCAGGAAGCCGCCTAGGTGGGCAGCGGAGGAAGCTTCCGAGGGAAAGCACAGGCTCTACGAGGGCCGCCCTAGCTACGCTGGGTTTTTTGGGCTGGCGGTAGAGACGTATGGGGCTCTGGCTAAGGACACGCAGCAGTTCATCCGTTTGCTAGCCACCCATGCCGCCAAGACGAAATACAGGAAGGGACGCCTCACGACGACCGCCGCCCGACTCAATGCACACTTCAGGCAACGGTGGTCCGTGGTGCTCCAGCGCAGCCAGGCGATCTCCATCCTCTCCAAGTCCAACCGAGCGGCGGACGCGGCCTTCCCACAGACAGCGGCGGACCCTTGGGCACCCAGGCTGGGGGACCTTTGGCAGACCTTGGAAGACGAGTATGAGGAGCGGCACGCCCCTGCCAGGGCGGCCTGAGAGACTGAGGGGGCCAGGGGGTGAGCACGAGGATCTTGCCACTGCTGACTGGGAGGGTTCGGAGGGACCAGAGACCTTGGAGGGTGTCTCAGGGAAGGGGTGAGGAAGTTGCGGTGTGGAAGGGGTTAAGGGGAGGCACATGGGCTTAGGAGGAGACACAGGACAGGGGGAATGGGGGTTTCTCAGGGATTTGTGTTGCGGAGGGTGGATCTGACAGCTAGGTGTTTCGGTGTGTTTAGTCTGTACGTGCTGGTTTTGTTTGCTTGTTAGCTCTACCTTCTCGGTTGCTTCCAAGTTTAGACAAGCTAGTATTTACCGCTTGCCATGTTTGTACCGTGGGACCCATATCAATACATGACTGCTTGAGAGAGAGAGAGAGAGAGAGAGAGAGAGAGAGAGAGAGAGAGAGAGAGAGAGAGAGAGAGAGAGAGAGAGAGAGAGAGAGAGAGAGAGAGAGGAATAGCCTCTACCCTCTGCCCCTAGCCTCTGCCCCCTGCCCCTAGCCTACTTAAGGCCTCTCAAAGGCCATTTCCTCATTGTTAGTTTGGCGGCTGAAATTTTTGCGCTCGTTCGAGAGAGCGAGAGAGAGAGAGAGAGGAATAGCCTCTACCCTCTGCCCCTAGCCTCTGCCCCCTGCCCCTAGCCTACTTAAGGCCTCTCAAAGGCCATTTCCTCATTGTTAGTTTGGCGGCTGAAATTTTTGCGCTCGCGCCGGCCGCCTTCGGCGGCCGACGCTCGACGGCGCGGCCTTCGGCCGCGCGTAAAGGGGACGGCAAGCATTCACGCAAGGAACCATTAATAGCAAAGAAGCATTACACCAATGGCACCACCTACCGCGGCCTAGCCGCGTGGTACACTAAATGGAGCTACAGGAGCCCGCGCCTACATGCGGTGAGCTCCAAGGGCATGGAGGATGCCCGTCAGGGAGCGCCACAGCTCCCGGACCACAAGCGTGCTTGCGCCGATCGCCGCGGCTCCGGATCCTACGTGCAAGTATCGCCGCAGTGCACGGACAGCCTCACCAAGCTGTCCCGCGGCAGCAGCGCCTCCCTCCGCGGGCGCAGCCAGCACGGGCGCCAGCAGCTCCGCGAGCTGGTCAGCTGCGTCGAGGCACGGGTCACGCAGGTGGCTGCGAAAGGACTCGGGCGGGACAGCAGGGAGAGACGAGTGCGCAAGCACTTGAATCAGAAGCAGAGCATGCAGGCTCTCCGCGAGACGGTGAAGCTGTCCAAGCGTTGTCTCAGGAACGCGCGTCTGCGGAGGCAGCAGAGCCGCCGCCAGAAACTGGAGAGACTCATCAGCAGCGTACGGAGCCGCATCCGCGCCACTACCCGCCGCCACGAACTCAACCCCCGCGACAGGCGGAACAGGTGGCAGATGCAGGCGGGAGCTGGTCGCCGGCGCCGCAACAGAAGGAGAAGGAACGGACGGGGCAGGGACATGAGGAAGAGGAGCAACAGCCGGCGGAGGGGCTACATGATGCACAGGCGAACGAGGAGCAACGGGCTCCGGAGCAGCCTGCCGCGAATTGCTCCGGCCCGGCGCTGCCCTCCCCTGACGTACGGCACGCGACACCTCCCGAGACACCTCGCGCTGGAGGTCCGCCAGCGTCACTGGCGGCCGATATGACCCGCCTCCACCGCGCCCCGGAGGGCCCCGCCATCCCCGACTGCCACCCGAGTGCGTTGGCCACTGGGCCTGCTGCTGGTAGCGCCGGGGGGAGTTCCGCCGGCGCCGGGACGTCTCGCGCTCCTGCGGTGGCGCGGGAGAATGGGGCCGGGACAAGCGGCGGTCAGGCGACGGGGGACGAGACGGCGGAACAACCGGAGCCGCAGGCGGTGGAACGGGAGGAGACTGATCCGCGC